TATTTGTATTTGACAACTTATTATTTATATGTTATTAAATTAGATTACATTAATTTGTAAAAGTTAAAATTGAACTTGTTATTTATATCTACTTTTTGTTATTGATATTAGTATCCACTTTCAGGTGTATTTATGTAGTATTATTCTAAATGTTAAAAAAATTAATTATAGTATGGAACCGAACCCGAACGGTTCCAAAATTATATTTGGAACCGACGGTTCCATTTACTAAATACCCGAAAATTTATGGAACCGAATAAAATCGAACCGAACCGACCCGCTCCCACGTCTAATATTCATCGACATGGTTTGAAACGAGCCGTCAACATGTAAGGGGGACCGTCCTATTGATCGTACCTACAATGGGAGTGGTGGGGGGCCGTTGGGAATTAAGTCAAATTCCCTATACTTGCCAGAGGGATTTTTATGGTTCAGAGAAAATTGGCAAACAAAATAATATAAATATAAGAAGAAAAATTTACAGACTGTCAAAATTCTTACTATATTAAAAATTGGTGACTCAATTTTTAGGGAGCACGACTTGATTCGTCATAACTCATATTGAGTTCGACTATAGAGTTAGAAGCATAAATAGGTGCATTTAAGTAATTCAATAAACTTAAAAAGTTGTAAAGAAATAAATAAAAAAAAAAAATGTACGCAGGAGATAAAATTTGCGATGAAGATATTATATGGCATATTAAAAGTAAGAAAACCTTGTTAGGACAATTGTACGCAGGAGATTTAATATTATATATTTGTCTTATTTGTCAAAAAGAATTCGTAGCTAAATTTTGATTCGACTGAAAATCAATCCCGATGAAGGTGATGGTTGTGGTTATGATTTGAAGTTGTGTCGACAATTTGGGTGGTGAATTGGAATGGGGTAAAATGAAGAGTGATTGCTACTAATAAATAATTTGCGACCAATTAATTATGTGATTTGCGACTTAATGCGGGATCTGCAACCAATAAATTATGTAGTTTGTGTCTGTGATCATATGTGATTAGCAAGCAATAATGATCATAAATTGTATTTATCGTGATCGTGACATGTTTAATTGAATTATATATCTTAATATTTTATTAGGTCACAACTGTAACTACTCATATTGAAACACTTGTGGTTATGAATTCTACCATTAAAACACGTGTTAGTTTTTATAGATAAAAAAAGGTTGAGTCACGGGCTTCGTACTATTCCTGTTGAAGAAGAAAATCTACCTAATTTGAGCCCTTCATGAAGTCTTTCTCCTCCAATTTTCGACACATTCATCATGAGACAAATTTGTCTCCTATTTATAATGAAAGTCTTCTTATGTTGGAACTTTTAGACAACAATCTCAATAATTTTCACCTTGTCAAAAAATCATTCTTCATAATTGCTTCTATCACACATCCACACAACTTACATCGATGTTAAGCCAATCTTCATCTACAAACTATGGACTCATGCATCCTCTATCATGGCAGCTAATGCGTATCATTAGGATGCAAATCATACTCGAGTGATTTCATCACCGTTTCTCATGAAAATAGATGCATTGGTCTACTCTAGTTTTTGGACAATATTTTCTGACGTGATCAATGTCCATAATTTCAACAAATTACATTATTCTTCGTGTAGTTACTCTTCTTCCACTTTCCAACCTCAAGTATCGAGTTTTCAAATGAAATATTACTTCCATCGAACCTTCTTTATTTAAAAATTAATATACTTGTAACTTTTACAAAATTCACAGTTCTTCCCTGTACATAAAATATGTTCGGTGTGCTCATAAGAAGATGGAAGGACTAGATGAGTCTTAACGTTTTACCCTTATCTTCAATCGTAACTCCAATAGTCTCTTGTTCAGAAAATGATCGCATTGAGAATGCATAGATGGTATGAGGATTTCGTACCTCCATCCATTTACACTGGATGACCGTTCCTTTAGATATAATGGATTTGAAAGACTATTTTTTATATGACTCTTCAAGTTTTTCCCCAAATGTCCTTTGCAGTAGATATTCCATGAATATTTGTAAGAATGTACTTGGCCAGATAGATACGTATTATATTTGCAGCATTCAAATCCAAATATTTCCAATAAATTGCTAAAAGAACATATATATTTTTGCAATAAGTGCTAGAATCAATAAATTGCATGCACGGATAAATCTACATTTATTTTGAATATGAAACTAACATTAATTG